TTCACTCTATAATATAAACATGGACCGCACTCGAAAAAACCCGGACAGCTCACGAAAAAAACCCAGACATATACAAATAAATTTCTTCTAAAAATGTCCTTCTAAATGCAATAAGTGTAAAGTGTCTGTATATCTAAGAATATATAGATTCCATGTATGCATTTCCTTTGACATTTGCATCGGTATGTCTATAAAAATAGCTTAATTCTATATTTTGGAATAAAAACATTTTGTAAAGCTTACTAAAACTTTTATAACACACAATAATGTAGGGTTAATGTTATCTTTTTATCATAAATACTAACCTCAGTGACGGATCCAGAACTTTTCATAAAGGGGGGGGGGGGAGGGCGCTGACTGACCGAAGGGGGGCCCGCTCCAGTCATGCTTCAGTGATTCCCTATATAATCAACCAAATTTTTCCCACGAAAGGGGGGGCCCGGGCCCCTAGGCCCCCCTGGATCCGCCTATGAACCTAACTTACCTTGTATGAACGTGTATATTAAGTTGAAGCATCTATTTCACGTTTTACCGTACATGAAGACTGTTTACATTCTCTAATCATATTCACTCGAACAAAATTTGGTCACACTCGAGAACAAAACCCGGATCAAATCACTCGACAAAATACGATACCAGCCGGAAACTATACCTGCTGTTATTCATGTTCTTGGAAAGAGTAATTAATCCTTGATCCGCAAGCTGTTTGATTTGGTTATTCATACAGAACGATTTTTCGATCATCCATGCTAGCATCGTCAGGAGACAAAAGAAGGTACACAAAAGAGATCTTCAAGAACGATAACTCTATAACAAATTTGGCCTTGAACCACTTTTGATACCACGTGCTTTACTTTCAACAGGGGATATTTTGACCGATAATAAAATTGAGGTAGGCAAGTGATTATTTATCAAAATACCACATTGATAACAATCCGTAAGCATAATATTAACGATTTAAATATGTTTTGTAACAAACAAAAGTGTAAAAGTGTTACTATTAAGCTTTACTTTTTGTTGAAATGAATCAACAGTGACGTTGTTGAATAATATAGGCAAATTATTTTGTTTAACGTCGATACCTTCAAAAATCTTTTAAAGTCATATACAAGTTGATGATTAAAGACATTTCATATAATTTTTTTTTAAATAAAATGTCTAATTATCTCCAAATGAATCTGTTTAAAAAGCATGTCGATAGTTATCTCCCTTGACATTATAGTCTATTATTTTTTTGGTTATGCGTTGCGTTTATTGCTGATATAAATTTGATATGAAAAAACCCACCTTATTGCTGTTGTCAGTTGATACAAAATACAATTATTTTTTGGATGAAAGCATATGAGAATGTGTGAATTGTTGGGTTTTTTTAAGGGGTTGGGGGGATGAGGGTGACACTGTCCGTTCTAATGTGTAGTATGGGGTAAAAACACCATTCACACATATTTGTATTCAGTGAAATGATTAGAAATACTACAGAATCAACAACTGTTTTAAATAATGATAGTGTTTATTTATTCATCATAAGTACAAGCTGTTCAATTATCCACATTAAAATTGGTGGTGGGGGGGGGGGGGGGGGGGGGGTAATTGTACATGTGTATGTAAAAAATAAATTGTTAGAATGACAAAAATAATAGTTACTGATGATAGATTAATGAATGAATATATTTATTGTGAATGAAATCTATACAAGAATGCAACAGAACTGTGGTTGTTGTCTCCCTTGAACAAGCTCATTATTTCAATTTACTAATAATTATTTAATTTGATGTTTAATCATTACAAATTATATAACAATTAATAAATAGTAGTATTTATAACTTTAGTTATATAAAATAGTTATCAACATTCAGTTATTTATTGTCTATTTTGAAATGTTTTGATTTTTTGTTTACCAAAATTTTGAACTTTTGATATTTTTATATATAGTTCTTGATTGGAACGGGAATTTATTCACGACTGTATCGATAAAACCACTCGCGATGATAAAATTCATCGTGCAAGACTGTCATGGGTTTCGCAAAGGATGTGCAAAACAATCCTCGTTGTCGATACATATCAATGTTCCGACCTTACAAGACCCTTATGTGTAGTCAAGGTGGTTAAAAAATCCCCCCTCCTCATGGGTAAAGATCCTTAAAAACCATCCTCAATCAGTTATACATGGATAGTCAATGTCGTTTAAAAAAAACAAACCTTGTACTTGTGCATCCATCGATAAATTTCACGCATTTCTTATTTTTGAATAACAAACCATTTTAATAAAACAGTAATAAAGGACAGAACTCTTTAATAGGTAATTGGACGGAAACCAAAGATCACAATTGAACCGAAAAAGACATTGGAATGTTATTTATAATTATGATATAATTTTTTAATAATATAATTTTTATTCAAGGTATCCATAAATCCTTCATGTTTCAAATATTTAAATACTTACCGCCATATTCTGTTCAACTGCAACACCTAAACTCACATGTGTTCAGAATAATTTCTTATTATAATCATACCATACACAATTCAAAACTATAATTTGATTTCATGATAAGCTTAAATTCTATATATAAGCATTCCATATTTGAATATAAAGTTTGAGGTGGTCACTACGCAATTCAGTACGTGGAAAACACTGTTCTTTATTTGTATTAAGTAAGACAAGTGTACGTAATTGCATGTGCTAGCACATGATTTCAATATATATTGAGCATTTTAGCAGATTTAGATTTATATAAAAATAAGAAGATGTGGCATGATTGAAACAACTCTCTCTCAACCAGAGACAAAAGGACGTAAAGTTAACAACTATAGGTCACCATACGGCCTTCAACAATGAGCAAAACCTATACTGCATAGTAAGCGATAAAAGCCCATGAATTGATAAATGTTAAACAATTAAAATGAAAAAAACTAACTAGCCTGATTTTATGTACAAAATGATAAATGAAAAGCAGATATGATATACAGCAAGAAACTACACTTACTTATTTACTTGTGATGTTTGTTTATACAAGGTGCTTAATAACATAATATATCATAGAAAAAAACAAGACAGTTAGGTTTCAATCATGTGATAAAAGTTATATATATAGATTACCGTTTTTCAACTATTAAAACATAATTAAGATTTTTAAAATCATGTTTTAATATTTCGTGAATATATAAAACAATTATTTATATATAAATATCAATAAAATATAACTTTCCTTTAATCTTTGCAGAAACTTATTTGAAGAAACAGACTATAAAAGCAAAGTGTCATTTATTTCATGATAGGAAAAAAAATAAATTAGAGTTACCTCTCTTGGCTAAAACATTTTAATGGAAAATCCCTATATAGTCATATTTTTGGAAAGGGGAATTGCATAGTTTAAAGAGACAACCAATAGAATTGCTTAGTGTTTTGAGACAGGTGAAGGTCATAAATTATTGAATATTTAGAAAAAATATATGGAAACTGAACTTTAATTTTTTTCCTGACATAGCTATCCATGCATAGTAAGAAATCGATCACTTCATTAGATACTCATTGGATACAAAGCTGACTGAAATTAGGTAAAACAAAATACTTATCAAAGATACCAGGATTAAAATTGTGTACGCCATACGCACGTTTTGTCTACAAAACACTCATTAGTGACGCTCGAATAAAAAAGTTAAAAGGCTCAATAAAAGACTTTATTTCTTTTTTCTGATAATAACCGTGTAGCAATTCGAAAATACAAAGACTCAATAGGGCCCGAAAAAATGCTCTTTTCGTTTGTTTTAGTTTTGATAATTACAACAACAGATGATGTCGGTAGGCAAGATTAAGATATATCTGTAAGTGATTCAAATCCATGAATTTCACGCGATTAAAAGGCTGCCTAAATCATTGACATTGCGCGTTGTTCGTATATGTTTTTCCCGAAGGTCATAAGCTAGATTTTGGTGCTGCAGTTCCTGCTTTTTTCATACAAAGGTCTTGAAGTTGGCATGTTGAAGATGACATTCTAACACTGTCAAAATTAAAACAAAAATCGTAAAAAAGCACTGCCGTATTGGCATATTTGTTATTTTGGAGTATTTCATAAAAATATTGTCTCAGTGGCATTGATAAAAAATCCTTTTTTTTTTCATTTTCCAACTTTTAAATTTTTCGACATTAAAACTTATTTGTGTACAAGTTTGGTTTGACTTTGTGTGATTGGTTTTGGTTCAAAGGCTTCCATTATTTTTCTATTTCTTCGATTTCTGAATATTTTATCATAATCAATCCCAAGAAGCTGGGTGAGGAAAGAAGGGTTTTAGAACGCAAGATACTAGTAAAGTTTCGAAGTCACTGTATTGCAAAGAAAAAATCAATTTGTCGAACTCATCGTACAATACAAGATAAAGACAATAAAAAGGACAAAAAACAAATGTAATCGCGCACATATGAATAAAGTGATCACGTAATTCCTAAAAAGCGACGGAAAAAATAGGATGGGGATGGGGTCCCTTTTTTGACGTTTTTGACGATGAATGCATTTTTTTTTTATCAAAATAACGTAATCGATTAACAGTTTTACTGTTCGACGATAATGGTATTAAAAAAAAACGTTGTGACGAATGACGAAAACAAGTTAGGCACCGTCGGCGTCACCTGAAACGAAAAAGGGGCGTTTGAAGCTTAATGATAAAGGTCAAAAACGGGTAATATCAGTTGCTTTGAAAGAGAAAAGCAAACCGTTCCCTGCATGGGAAACCACCCACACTAGACATATACCGATACATTTAATGATAATGTGATTGTTTTACATACCTCAAGAAATTAGAAAGAATAAGTCTTGAAATAATGAAATAATTAGAATTGACATTAAAAATGATTAACAAAATTAAATGTTTATAAAATTTGTCAATTATTTTAATCTTTTAACAACTACTTTACAGATATAACGAAAACTATACTTTGTTGTCGGAAGATGTGATGTTTCAAGGTCGGAAGGTGCAAGCATTTTAATTACACTTTTGTTGCAAGTGTTTAAACGTAGATTTTTTTCTAGGGTGATGCGTAAATGTATGTCCTTGAATTGCAATATAAATAAGCTTACCTGATCAGAATTGTGTGAATACCATTTTCTCTCTTGTTATGGTAAGTCAATTTTTGTCCAATCAATTCATTTTTTTTTTTTAATTATATGAAAATAAAACTATCTCATAACTTTGTATATAAAATTTTCTTTGTCAGTTGTATCCATCAGTTTTGAGGCGAAAAGGTTTAAGAAAGTGGGATAATGATAATTTTTAGTCATGCAGGTTATTAATCTGTGAACATCACCAGACCTAGCGTCGTTAAACACGTAAAATGACTTTATTGGTAGTATTTATTTTTGTATGAATAAAACTAGATATGGAGTATACGTCGATGAGACAACAATCCAACGACAAAATTATCAAACAATGATATCTAGAAGTTCATATACAGTTTTCATTTATACAATATGTCAAGTTTTAACCACCGAGTCTATTAAATGGTGCATTGATTAACGTCTCCGAGGAGACGTTATTAAGAATTGAACGATGGACAGTCTGCGGGCTGAATGCTTCTTACTACCTGATTGGAAGATATTACTGAGACGTTAATAATTAAAGTTCGTTGATTGGTTGGGACAATCCAAACCTAGTAAATGTCTTTCAATCCCGTAGAGTATCGGATTTGTACTCTCTATTTTAGCCATTATATTTTGCCTGGTCACCAATCATGATTGTATATCGGTACACAGATAACATTTATCTATAAATAGCCGAATCTCCTGAAGTTTTGTAAACACACACGGGATTGTTCCAGTCGATCACTGTTACGTACATTTTATACACGAAGAAAACTTGTGAAGGAAATCATGGTTATGATATTTCATGATGATAGAATAAATTGTTTGATAAATATGTAAAGCATTTACAACCATGGTTTTAATTGCATCTGTACAAAAATATCGACATCTGATCAGTAACTGTTTCAGATTCAATCTTCAACCTTGTCTTGACTTACTTATATCACCTAAAAAAAAGCGCCCCCCCCCCCCCTTTTGTGGGAAAAATTTGGATGATTATATAAGGAATCACTAAAGCATGACTGGAGCTCCCCCTTTTTTTTTAGGTCAGTCAGCGGGCCCCCTTAGAAAAAGTTCTGGATCCGCCACTAGCAGTGCTTAATTTCTATGAATGATTTGAAAGGAGATATGAAGTATACGTAATTGCCATGGTTTAGACATTAACCAAATTAAATAACAACAAAACAATTTACTTCTAAAAATTAATCTACGGTCTTCTACAATGGACATGTCATTACAATATTTTAAGTTTTTAATCCTCCCAAATCTAGCTATGATATATAGAATAGTTGTGAATACATGTAAAAAATATATCTTAATAGCAAACAAATGAATATTACTTAAAGCAATGAGCAGGGTCAAGAACAAACTTCTAGTAATTGTTTTGATGTTTATTGACCATTTATTCTATATATATATATATATGCTATATGAGAAAAAGAGAAATAAAAGAAAATTATAAATTTCAAATACGAAAATACTGTTGTCATTTTAAAAGAACGGTCTCTCACAAAATATTATGTCAATCCAGTATGTTAAGCTTTGAAGGATTAGTACGATAAGGACCTTATTTAACACCCAACATTAAACGACATACTGCTTCATAACGTGTTTGGTAAAATTTGTTGATTGATTTGCAAGGCTATTCTGAATGAATTAATCTACAAAGCGAGAACACTTTCCACTTTCATCAGCTAAGAAACGGCTAGCTTTTTTAGAAAAGCTATTACTTGTTTAGCAGCTACTATCGAAAATCTGCCATCTATACCAATGTCACTACATGACAAATAAATAAAATAAAAATAGCACTTTTAAATTTTGATGCATCCAAAGCGATTTTCGGGATTTATCTTCAACTAAAACTCTCAAACCCAATAGTAATATAGGGTTACAAACACATAGCGTTCCGTTTTCAGAATTATAAAATATGTTTTAAATAAGTGTTAAAAAGAATATTATCATGACTGTGTTTGACAATAACTCATGATGTAATACGTGAATATACACATTTTCATTTCGAAATCCAGTAATTGTATTAAAATTGAGCTTGCATTTTCTTCAGGCAAAATTGACAAAAACTATTTTGGCCTTTCTGTTTAGCCATTGTAGCTTTTATGCTTCGAAATGTTTTCATGTATTTTGGCTTGCTAAACTTCTGACCGAGCAAAGTTATAAAAAAAAAATACATATTATGCACGTAAAACGGTACCATACCATTTCAATTATGTTTTCAGCTATATGCCTGTGATTACTGGCTTTAAAGAAATGGTTATCCTTAGAATTATGTTGATTTTCGGCCTTGTCCTTCTGACAAATGCGCAATTAGACAACATCAAACAGATCGACAAACTAAAGAAAGGAATTCTTGTAAAAGTCAACCAGGATTCTACTATCTTAAGCCGGAAAAGACGCCATTATTACGGAAACTGTCTGGATATCAAAACATGGTACACTAATGATGGGAACGGAAACACTGTATTTCTCGATCGTCAAACTCCCGATTGTGGATTAACAGCTATGAGGTCATTCCACTTAGTTCGAAATAATGCTGGTAGCCATGTGAGATATGATGTAAGCTGTTGCAATCTTCCACTGAATTTTAAATGTAGTACGGAAATATTGAATACCCCATTTAACAACGATGGAAATGGCAAAGTTGCTTTTTTAGATCGCCAGTTTGTGTCTTGTCCACATAATGGATTTATTAAACGCTTCCATTTAAATCGTCAGCTACCCAGCAAATATCGATACACTTATTCGTGCTGCACCCCTGAATCTACACAACGGCATAAGATGAACTGCTACTATAATCCCACCCCAAGTAGTCCTGCTGGTCATGGAAATATGGTGTACCTTGACAAACATAGACCAACCTGTCGACCCGGGTATTTCCTAAATAACTTTAGACTTGTTCATCCAACTCTTACAACGATGAGGTACAATTACAGATGTTGTGCCTTTCTTCCACAATAATCATTGAGAATAAATGTGTACCTCTTCTGCATTGCAGTGTCAGCTGTATACTGTCCATATCTACTATATTTGGATTTGCTTAGTAATTTGAATTGTCTTTGCAGAAATAGGATGTTTAGATATTTAAATTGTGTTTTAAAAAAATGTGTTATGAAACAATTCCTACGTTATAATACTTAAATGATAGATGTACGATCTGCTCTGAATAAATTGATTTTATATTTTTATGTGTATTTTCAATTGTGTTAGTTCATTGTTTTGAATTAACTCAATCAGTACTTAATAAATAAATGTTCTGTAGTTTCAGATCAATATTTACTTGCATTGGAAATCAAGAAAACAAAAACAATAAAAAAAAAATATAGGTGCTGTACAGCAGAACGTAAACAAATGTGAAGAAGTCTACGAAAGTAACTAAGTGAAAGAATAAAAGTAAAAAAATAAAAACCTTACATGCAACAAATTTACTGAACTACCAAAAACTAAAAGAGAGTGCTTATTATTTTACCTTAATTAAGCAGCAACTTCATTCATATCATTTTTCATTTCAATCAAAAGTTCATATAACCATAAAGGAAATATCTTCATTACGCAGATCCGACAACAGAATGTGTAGTTACTGTAAACAATCACAACAGTATGTATAGTTACTGTAAACAATCACAACAGTATGTGTAGTTACTGTAAACAATCACAACAGTATGTGTAGTTACTGTAAACAATCACAACAGTATGTGTAGTTACTGTAAACAAAATACAATCATCAACATATATTAACTAAAAATGACGAATATATAGTCGTGTGTTATGCAGCATTTTATAAGTTAATCTTTGATATTGAGTCACTATAAAGTAATTGCGAGTACTTTATGTTGGTTATTTTTTTATATGTCTTCATGCCTGATGAAAATATGTTAATTTACTAGATCAAACACGTGTTTCTGTTTATAGATAATATAGGCAATGTGTATTGTCCAAAGGCAGGATAAACAATGTGAACAATCAGTTAATATACACACTGTGCACTCTCCTAGGTTAGAGAGAAGGATGCACATCAAACACAGTTAAAGATAAAATATCCTACCTAAGCATTGCTCATGGATTGGACCAAATGCGTATTTAATCATGCCGGAATCAATTCAATCTGAGTGTATATTTCCTATTTACGGATAAAACTCATGTCTAACCATGCAATGTTTACACTGTGCACTCTCCAAGGTAAAAATCAAAGCTGTTTTTAATAATGCAACTTACTAAATGTCTTATTTTAGGACCAACAACATGTTTAAACTTGCACTTTACTCACTATGCAATGTCCAAGTTTAGAACAAAACACTGGTTTATCCCACCTGCATAATTCGCCAAAAAGAATCTAAGGCATAGCCGATATCAATCAAGGGTCAAATTAGCAGGAGGCAGTTAGTACCATAGTATCTGTAAACTGAGCAAGTTAAACAAAGCCTGAAATGGCAATTGTAAAAAAACAATAAACGAAAAAAACAAATTTGATATACAGGTTCCTGACTTTGACAGGCACATATAGAATGCGGCGGGGTTAAACATGTTAGCCCACTCCCAACCTTTCCTTAAAACTGAGACAGTGATACAACAGAACAACACAAATACAAACTGTACAAAAGAATAAACAAAAAACAAATATGATAAACAGCAAAAAATGACTACCACTCAATTCCATGATCCTAACTTGGGACAGGCACATATATAATGTGTCGGTGGTAAATATGCTGGCGGGAGCCCAACCCTACCCCTTACCTCGGATAGTGAAAGGTGTAAAAGCACACCATTAGACCAAACTATAAACATCAGTTGAAAAGGGCTAAGCTTATCAGATCGATACAAAACGAAAACAACCATTACAAACACATAACACACAAAGTACAGATTTGAGAGCAATCGCACTTACTGAAAGCTAATTCAAAGCCAATACAAAATAATAATAAACGCATGTAAATAGCAATAAGTTCACATAAAACATCTAATGGATTAAGCTTGAAGACGTCATCAACAGTCATTAACGCTTAATAGCGGTTTGAGAGGTGTTATTTATAGAGACAATTGTCAGAGGTGAGACTTGATCACAAGACACATCAAGATATGTGTTAGATACGTTGGTTAGGCTTAATGTATGAAAAAAGTAAATAATTCGATTGGACTGCATTCATGTATCATATTCACTAAACAAACAGACGAAAGAGAAAACAATGAAGTCCTACAGAGAAGTTAGAAATTCTGAAGAATAAACTGTCAACTGAGACAGGCACAGTAACACAGAAAGCTCCACAACCTATTCCCTCTTAAACTTTTAATATTGAAGGCTTCCCAAACGTTTGGTTTTAATAGAAGCTAATGAACGTATTTCCGGAATACTTGGTGTATTAAGTGTTGGTCAGATTGATGAACAATGGACACTGAATTAACTGAAAGCGTATGTGAAATCTGGTTAGAAAAGGTCAGAATTATTTATTGCAATTCTGTTAATCGTTGCCCTTAGGTACATGTGGATACCATAATGAATCCGAATCCCAGATAAACATTCAAACGTACCATAAGTATACTACTTCGATATATGCATAGACATCTCGGTGAATAATTTTTCTCTCCATTAGATTGAATAAATCAGTTCTATACTCCGCTGATCTACAACTGCTACATTAACATCTGAATGGATAGTCAATGAAAATCGTCAATCATTCAAATGAGCTCGTGGATTTATCTTTCTTGATCACATTACTAGTAATCTGACTGTTAATTTGTCATCTATCCCACAGGGCACAATTAATATCCCGGATTTTTTAAAAATGTTTAATGTATAAAAACGTCTAGCCTTGGATCCTGTTCAATCTTCTGCTTCCTGTCTGGTGACTACCTTTCGGTGCTAAACAGAACTTTTACGGATGTGCATGCTATACTAACAATCATTAAAATAAAGAAGTGATGTAAATCTTTTGTTCAAACGCTTCAATACTTCTTGTGTGGAATGGAAAGTTATTTTCTATTGTCCATATTCATTTCCCTTTGGATATTTCTATGAGCATTTTCTTAAAAAGTGTTCACCCATGGAAATATTGTAAAGGACGTCACGCAATATTGAACGAAGATGAAAATTTAAACGGATAGGGGAAATGACTACGTAGTTATATAATGGACTTCATTATTAACAATCAGTTTTTATTTGCGAGTCGTAATTCCATTGTATAAAATATACTATCGTATTCACTGAAATGTAACAACAATATCCGTAGTCGAATATAAAAAGAGAACATTAGAAAAACAGATCTATAATCAAAACCTAATATTCCGCTGTATTTACTGGCTGAAGTTCTGTCACAAAGAGTAGACAAGCAGGTATAACTAAATAAAATATATTATACTATTAATTGTGTGCCATTCCTCTTATGTTTATCTATAAAGTATCAACTGTGTTAACTCTGATGAACTATTTTGTTATATCTAATACATTAGCATAATTCAATAATGAAAATTAGAGAAAGAAATAAGCCTCAATTAACGATTGTTTTATATTAAACCGTTAAGGATATCATTTCATTGAAATTTGAAATGTAGTATTTTGATTTCGTACAGCGAAAACGCGTGTTCAATTTGAATATATTAAAAAAAATGATACAATATTGTTAATAATAATAAAAAAATTAACAGTTTAATAATTATACAATTTGTTTCTCGCATGTCTAGAATGAAGTTCAACTAAAGTTATCTCTCTTTATATAGCTGATTGACTCTCTATTCAAATTTGTGTATAACTGTATCATTAATCATGATTGTAAAGATTGTTCTCAATCTTTCTTACAATACCTTTAGTCTCTAGATATTTATTCTATTCAATAGCTTTTCGAAATATCTTAGCCAGGTTTTCTAAATAAAATAACAACTAAACTACTATTTCAAGAAATAGAAATTATTATTATTACTATAAATTACTACAAAGAATGAAAGTACAATATGTTTAACGGTTTTCTGTGATTTTCGTGCGTGAAGTATTTACCTATTAAGTTCAAATTCGTTTTGCTATTCGGAAAATCCCCTTTTTATAATCCTTAGCACGCCTTATCCTTGCGCGTAAGAAAATAGGTCGCTACTGGTCAAGGTTAATCATATAAATCACTGTCAATACATACGTAAATATTGGATTATAAAGAAAGAAATCACGATTTCATACGTCTCGACACCGATTTATCAATATAAAGCATATGAACACAAGTAACTAAAGAAATGTAGGATTAATAACAAGTTAGAAAATAAAGATGTTATTCGAATGCCACATGTTGGCGGAATTTCGTAACGCTAAATCGGCAACTTCCAATTTTGCCGGGAACGACGTTACGTTAACACAAAGGTAAAACCGCGTTATTGAATGTTCACAACACTGCCCTCCGTCAAAATAGAATTTCGTCTCGAAATTTAAATAATTGCGAAATATTAAATCATTAGATACAATTAAACAAAATCTAAACAAGCACCTGCTATCTCAATAGAATATTAAAATTAAGAAAATTTGTTTTTGTCAATGTTGACTAGATCACGAATATATCACAATTCTTGACACGTTTAATAATAAAAGTGTACCAATGATATATAAAACAATATACATATAAATAATGTCAACAATTTTGTAGTTTTGTGTCTTTCAATATAATAAATAAACTGTTTATAAAATTTTCAATGTTTTCTTTGTCCAACAACTTCACTGTATTATTGGTTCGTCTCTTTTTTTTTTTTTTTTTTATGTGTCCTCTTCTGTTTTTTTTTTTCTTTATGTGTCCTCTTCTGTTCTTTTCTCTTTCTGTGTCCTCTTCTGCTCTTTTCTTCCTTTTTCTCCAATCTTTTTGTGTGTCTTGAGTTACCTGTTTTTCATTCTCATGTTCTTTCTCAGTTTGGTCTAAATCTGTTTTACGGAAACTTTCTTTCAGTTGACTTATTTTTTCCACCTGACAGAAAAAGTCTCCATCCTCTTTTTTAACTGAAACATTTACAATTTCTTCCGTAACTGGAATATTTTGATTTTCTTCTGTTACTGGAACATTCACAATTTCTTCTGTAACATTTACATTTTCTTCTGTAACATTTACAGTTTCTTCTGTAAAATTTATATTTTCCTCTGTAACATTTTCATTTTCTTCTGTAACATTAACGTTTTCTTCTGTAACATTAACAATTTCTTCTGTAACATTAACATTTTCTTCTGT